AACGCCACTTGAAGACAGTCTCTGGAACCAGTCCAGTACATCGAGCAGATGACGGCCCCACAGACTCTCACTGGGAAGTCTGTCCTCATTCACGAACACACTCCAGTTAGCCAGCCTCGAAGGCCTTCCTCAGCCTCAGGAACTTTCCGTCTAGTGAGGGCTTCTGGAGGTCCCAGGAGCTGCCGGAAATCCTCAGAGAAAGGCACTGACGTTACCACTTTCACAGCCCCTCACATCTCCCCACTCTGTCCATAACTGCCAGGCCACAAAGGAAACAGCCAGGGCTGCAGGATTCCGACAAGCGCTTGGCAGCTCGGGTTCAGATGTCTGACACCTCCCAAGTGTGGGGACTGGGAAAGGGCAGTCTCTTCTACTGCAGGCATTGTGGTAGCCTCTTTCTCTCTAGAAAACCCTCCTGCTGTCCCCTGTTGGTGCTCCAAGCTAGAATCTATTTTATCCTTCAACTTTAGAAACAGCTTCTTCAAAGCCTTTTGGACTAGGGCTGTGGCTCATCTGGTAGTGTCTGCCTAGCATGCACGAAGCTCGGGGCTCCAGCCCCAGCACCACATAAAACCTGGCTGCAGTAGCATACAGCTGCAACCCCAGCAGTGGGGTAGAGTAAGCAGGAGGATCACAAGTTCAAAGTCATCCTCAGCAGCACGCCAAGTTTGAAGCAAGTACATGAAACCCTATTTCAAAAACCAAGCCAAGGACTGGAGAGATGGTTCAGCCAGTTAAGAGCACTGGCTGCTCTTCTAGAGGACGCAAAACACTCATACACATAAAATAAAAACAAAAATAGTCAAGAATAAAAACAAACCAGCGCTCGGGAGGCAGAGGCAAGTGGGTCTCTGAGAGTTCGAGGCCAGCTGAATCTACAGAGCGAGTTCCAGGACAGCCAGGGCTTCACAGAGAAACCCTTTGATACACTTTTGATACACTCAGAGAAACTGAGTGGAACCGGGGGCCACAGAGAGAGGAGAAGAGCAGAATGGGGAGAAGCTGGTCAGGCAACTAGGGACTAAGTTCAAGAAACCCAGGGGTACACGTGCACCCCGGGTGCCTGTAAACAACAGGAGAGCACTGCACTTTTCAGGAAGCTAAAAAAAGGATTGCGAATGTTTTAACCATTCAAAAATTATAAATACATGAAATGAAGTTGTGTGAGCACTACATGATTTATCTATGTGTCAAAATACCATGAGATCCCATGACATAATTTTTATGTTTTTACACTTGTAATGTGTAGTTCAGTGGTAGGGTGTGTACCCACCTGGGCTGGGGAGCTGAGTACAGTCTCAGCATCCAAACAGTAATATACATATATACGTGTGTGTGGTATGTGTGTGTGTACATGTTCATGTAAGTGTGCACATGTGTGGAGACTACAAGTTGATGTTAGGTACAGTACGAATCCTAATTGGTCTTAATAAAAACCCGGAGCCAGATATTGGGGTAAATGCTGAAAGATCAGAGAGACAAAGGAACAAGCCACAGCCACCTCTCACCTCACCAATAGGAGTCTGCCTTCATTGCTTCCCCCCTTATTTTTTGAGACAGGGTCTCTTACTGAGCCTGGAGCTCACCAAACAGCAAGACTAACTAGCCGGTGAGCTCCAGGCATCCTCCTGTCTCCACCTGCCCAGTACTACGATTACAGGTGTGCACCACCATGCCCGGCTTACTGTGGGTGCTGGGGAGCCACGTTCAGCTCCGCATGCTTGTATGACTAACAGTTCTGTCGCAAACAATTGTCCTCGTCCTGTCCCCTCTATTGAATGTGAGGTGGGAAAGACCGTGGGTGGAAATGGCCATGCCAATCACTCGCTCTTCACCTCAGGATTATCAACCAGGGCTCCCCCTCCTGTCCCTGAGCGAGGAAACACCTGTCTCTATCCTCAACGAACTGTGAGGCAAAGAGAAGGATGCTGCTAGGAGGGGACACGGTGGGAACAATAGAAACGGGGCGACACCGTGGCGAGGAACAGACTTTGGTGCCACCAGATACAGCCTTGACTTTACCACCTGGATAGCAAACACCTCTGAATTTCTGTGCCTATACTTAAGAGGTAATGACTCCTCGTGGAGGGGAGGGGACCTGGAGAGACGACTCAGTGGTTAAGAGTGCTTGATGCTCTCTCAGAAGAGCACAGTTCTGTTCCCACCACCCACATCAGAAGGCTCAGAACTGCCTGTAATGCCAGCTCTGGAGAGCCAACTCCTTCTTCTAGCCTTCATGGTCACATGTGCCCATACACTCATACACTCTCACACACACACACACACACACACACACACACACACACACACACACACACCCAAAAAAAAAAAAAAACCTTTTTTTAAATTTTGTTTTTTTGAGAGGGTCTCTCTACATAGCCCTGGCTGTCCTGGAACTCATTATATAGACGAGGCTGGCCTCTTGAGTGCTGGGATTAAAGGTGTGTGCCACTACATGTAGGGCATTTTCTTAATGAGTTATTAACCTGGGAGGGTCCAGCACTTTGTGGGTGGTACTGCCCTGGTCTGGTGGACCTGGGTGCTGCCGTGAGGAACAAGCACTCCTCTGTGACCTCTGCATCAGCTCCTGTCTCCAGGTTCCTGTCTGGTTTGGAGTTCTCACTCTGGCTTGCCTCAACAGACTGTGATTTAGGATATGGAAGCCAAATAAACGCTCTCCTCCCCAAGCTGTTTTTGGTCACAGTGTTTCATCACACAGTAACCCTAACTAAGACTGTGTATGAGGATGAATGTGCACATGTGTACCATGTCAGGAGTATGGAGATCAGTGAGCAGCTGTGGAGGTGATTCTCCCCTCCATCTTTACACGGGTTCCAGGTTAAAACTTTATTCCAGGAATAAACTCAGGTTATCATCAGGCTTGGCAGCAAGTACCTTTACTTACTAAACCATCTCACTGGCACTCTCTGAAGGTTGCTAAGAGCACTTCCTGCTCTTCCAGAGAAATTGAGCTGGGTTCCCAGCATCCATATCAGGTGGCTCACAACCACCTACAACTCTAGCTCAAGGGGATGTAGGTCAGTCTGTCTCCCCAAACCAGTATAATCATAGTCTCCTTACTTCCTCATATTTTTTTTAATCATTCTAGCTCCACAATAAATACCGTAAAACAGGGTCCCCAAGGCTGGAGAGATGGCTCAATGGTTAAGAGCACTGGCTGCTCTTCCAAAGGACCCAGGTTCAATTCCCATATGGTAGCTCAGAACTGTCTGTAACTCCAGTTCCAGGGGATCCTAAACCCTCACACAGATATACATGCAGGCAAAACACCAACGCACATAAAAATAAATAAATGAAAATAAACAACAACAAAAAACAGGTCCCCACTCAGGCAAGATTAAGTCTATTCCCAAGGTTTCTGCTGATCCATTTTGAAGGCTGTGAAGACAGGCACAGACACTACCTGCCATGTGCTAGGGAAGAGAGGAGGCCTGGCTGCTGAGCCTAACAAAAGACAGAGAAAGCTAGCCTGGGCCTGTGGGAAAGGAGCTGGTATGGTATAGTGCAGTAATTTAAGAGTTCAAACTCTGGACTCAGTGAAATTCAAATTCCAGTTCTTTATAAGCTAGATGCGAGGCTTGAGCAATTCAGTTTCCTCGTCGGTAAGACAGCAATAACAAGAGACTCTGGTAGCAAGAAGGCCCTCCTCCACCATGTTCTTCTATCCGGGTGGGGGTAGTCAGCTTAGGCCAGCTGAAAGGTAGCAAGGCTCCTCCTGTCCTGGCTCTGTAGACACGACTCTAGAGAGATGATGATCTGTTAATGAAGATGATCATAACTTTTTCCCAGTTTTCTGTAGTTCTTAATATCTCCCATGTTGCTGTGTTAAATACTTTCACATAATGAGTTCCAGGCATGTCAGGGCTACATAGTGAGAATGTGTCTCAAAAAAACCCAGCCTATAGACTACCTGAACTGAAGATGTAGTTCCATGATACAGCCTGAGGACCTGGGTTTGGTCCTGAAGGAGTGTGACCTGTGGAGCCAGGCTGTCAACATCTAAATCCTGGCTCTGAATCAATCACCCAATCAATCAATCAATCTTGGCCCTCACACTGCTGAGAAATGATATTGATTAAGTTATAGAAGCTCTATAAGTCGGGCACATATTATCATCTACCAGTTTTACAATGTTATGCTGAAAATTAAATTCATTAGTGACACATATGTACAAAATAACTAGAAGAGTACTCGGCGCATAATCAGTGATTTAAAAAATGTTGTTAGCTTTTATAATTATTCTAATTGCAATTCTGGAAGATTAAATACTAAGTTAATTATATTTTGCTTGGTTTCAAAATATGTTTTAGAATTAAAACTTATATTAGGTGATTATAAAGAGAAATCAGGGAGAAGAGAAAGAAAATTGTTGAATTGTTCCATTATTTTAAGTGTATGGGTGTTTGGGCTGCATGTATGTCTATGCACCAGTTATGTGCCTATTGCCTGCAGAGACCAAAAGAAGACACTGAATCTGCTGGAACTGGAGTTACAGACAGCTGTGAGCTGCCCTGTGGTGCTGGGAATTGAACCTGGGTCCTGTGGAAGAGCAGCCAGTGCTCTTAATCACTTGAGCCATGGCTGAGCATCTCTTTAGCTTCAAGAAGGGTAAGATTTCACAAGGCATAGGGCAGAGAACAGAATCGGATCAGTGCTAAAAACGAAGGGGGCAATCCAAGCACAGCTGGATGCAAGTTTGGCAGCACACACCTACAACCCCTGTCACCCAGGAGGCTCAAGTGGAGGATGGGGAGGTCCAAGACCAACCCAAGTCATTCTACAAGCAGCCCCTCCGCCACAAGTTCAAGACCAGCTTGGTCTACATAGCAAGTTCCAGGCTAGCCAGAACAAGCAGAAGGCAGAATCAGAGAGGTAACACTGCAAAGTGTCACCCTCATAGAATCACTATTATCACACATGTTCAATAAAACCTCAGAAACAGGCTTAGGGTCGAAGAAGGACAGGTGGCAGACACTCACTCATGGACTCTGCTGTCACCATAGAGGTCGCTCAGGCCAAAGCTGATGTAATGCCAGTGCTCAGGGATGTTGGCAGAAGGACTCCCCATGTTCCTGTACATGCTGACATAATCCAAGGGGTCTGGACCACCCAACCTGCAAAAGACAGAACACAAGGTGTCGATTTAAACCTGGAAACCAGAAAATAGCAAGTAGGAGGCTCTTCTCTCTGAACCCAAACGCCCCATCCTAGAGGGACCTAAAGCAGAAGATAACTAAAGGGAGGCAAAAAAATCTCTTTAGTGCTGAGCCAAGGGAAAGCAGCTGAGGCTATGTGATGTCACATGATCAACAAATTCCCTTCTCTTCCCTCCAACAGACAGGGCCATTTTAGAAATGCAGCAGACTTGCACTCTGCTTTCGCCTGTTTTAAGTTGCTGACTCCAAACGGAGTCTCCTGTGCTGCCTGAGAGCTTGCCAGGCTTCAAGGTAAGAGATAGCATATTTAACCACCGGCTTCTCTTGAATGACTATCCAGAGCATGCCCAATGGACATCATTCCTGGCAGTACAGGTTTCATTCTACACCTGTCTCTTAGACAGTTAGTTCCTGGAAGTCTGCATTGTGCCTTCTCTTATTGTGTCTTCTAAATACACACAAAGCCTCTGCTCTGCACAGATCCTGGCCTGCAATCCACAGATCAAAACTTAGTCGCTGCAAAGCGACCAAGTCCAAACATCAACTAGCCCAGCTCTGCACAGAGCACTCAACACGAACCAGGTTGAACCCTGTCCACACCTGCACTCTAAAGAGCATCCCAGGAGGCATCTGTCTCAAAGGAAGAGCTGTGACAGTTCCCGATTTGAAGCTCCTAAGGACCACATTAAATTTCCCCACAAATCCAACAGAGAAGCAGTTGAGGAAGAGATTCAGTCATTACCTCACTGAAGATTTAATTCAATAAAAGTTCTTTTAGCAATCAGTGCTTAAGCAAAACAAAACAAACAACAAACAAAACCGCTTTTCTTCAGAACGGATAGGAAAACACAGTAGACTTGAGAAGCACACTAAATAGAAACCATCAGCAGAAGGAAGTGTGCACTGTGCCCATGAACTCCACATTTGAGCTGCCTCACATGGACCACAGGCTGGAGAATCTGTGCCTGGTCCTGGAACATGGTCAGGAGTGCACTTCAAGCAGGCTGAACTACTAAGGGAACACTAACAACCAAATAAAAGACATGGTACAGGAGATCCCAGCCAGTGTGCTGGGACCATGCAATTCAAACCCTATTTTAAAACCAGTAAGTCTGGTTTCATCCTCTTTGCCAGGATGTTATTAGTCTTTGCAGAAATCCTTACTCTCCCGCAAAAAGAAAATGCTAAGTTATTTATAGAACTCATAAGGAAGAAAGTCACTACAAATAACTTAGATCTCACCTGAGTGGGTCAGGTAAAGGGACAAGTCTCTATGTCTACCTTTTGTTTGTTTGTTTGTTTGTTGTTTTTCAAGACAGGGTTTTCCTGTGTACTCCTGGCTGTCCTGGAACTAGCCCTGTCCTGGAATTCAGAGATCCCCCGCCTCTGCCTCCCAAGTGCTGGGATTAAGGCCTGCGCTACCACCGCCCAGCCTCTATGTTTGTCTTTAACTGTGATTTCACTAAACCCACTGGATTTAGAAAAATTTGGGGGATGGACAGAGGAAAGAAAAGAACCCCATTATGGCTGCAGAACCCTAAAACAGACAGGCTCCATACTCCCTCCAACTTCCTTCTGGAAACCCCCAAGAGCCTTTGCTGCAGCCTAGGTCCACCCAGTAACAAGAAGTGCCACTGTATGCTGTCCTGCTCCACCTGTCAGCATGCTGTAGCTCCTTCAGACAGTCTCCCAGGAGAGATCACATCAAAAAGAGGCCTTAAGAGGAGTCAGGGAGCTGGGCGGTGGTGGCGCACGCCTTTAGTCCCAGCACTTGGGAGGCAGAGGCAGGCGGATCTTTGTGGGTTCCAGGACAGCCAGGGCTACACAGAGAAACCCTGTCTGGAAAAACTAAAAAAAGACGAGATCTAATGGCCTAAAGCATCCCTTTCCTTAATTCCCGAACACCTGTCCTCTCTATAGGGCAGCGCAGGACTAGAGTGGACCGGGCACCAGGCTCTGTCTCCTGCTTTGGTCCTTACCTTGCCTGTGAAAGTCTCAACTATTAGCTGGAGTCCCCTGCCGGCCAGGGACCACTAGCTAAAAAGCCACCCCTGAGACCCAAAGAAATCCTATAGCCAGACCCAAGCAGTTGAGTCAGTCACCCTGCGGTGAGAACCGAAGGGTTAGGAATACACTTCGGTATCTCAATTCTGCAAATCCCTCTCATCCCAGAAGAAGCCAGCCCCTAGGCTGTCTCCTCTCGGATTCCTGCATCTAGGTGGCATTTCTTATTTTACAAAGCGCTGTACATACATGCCTTCTCAGTTGTTCTCACATGCTGGGCTACCTCTGTGGATACTGCCTCTCTACAAGCTTCCAGCAGAAAGAAAAAAAAAAACATGCTGTAACTTCTCTTGGTCCTTTGCATAATGCTTCCAGTACCTTTAACGAACAACTCTCTTGATAGCCATGCAGTGACACAAAGCCAGCTGCCCTATCCTCCACAGGGATTTCCCCTCACACTTAAGATCAGCCCAAACATCATGGGAAGGCCAGCTTCTCTCATAACATGGGGCAAGTTCACAACATAGTTAAATATAAAGGTGCAATTAAAATGGTTGATTAAGTTAGCAAGAGCTACTGGCCTCAGTGGTGACCGCCTTTAATCCCAGCATTCCGGAGGCAGAGGCAGGGGAATCTCTGTGAGTTTGAGGCCAGCCAGCTTGTTCTACATAGTAAGTTTCAGGACAGCCAGAGCTACATAGTGAGATCCTAGCTTAAAAAAACCAAAACCGCCGGGCGGTGGTGGCGCACGCCTTTAATCCCAGCACTCGGGAGGCAGAGCCAGGCGGATCTCTGTGAGTTCGAGGCCAGCCTGGTCTCCAAAGCGAGTTCCAGGAAAGGCGCAAAGCTACACAGAGAAACCCTGTCTCGAAAAACCAAAAACCAAAAACAAAAAAAAACAAAAAAAAAAAAAAAAAAAAAACAAAACCAAGCCGGGCGGTGGTGGCGCACGCCTTTAATCCCAGCACTCGGGAGGCAGAGCCAGGCGGATCTCTGTGAGTTCGAGGCCAGCCTGGGCTACCAAGTGAGTCCCAGGTAAAGGCGCAAAGCTACACAGAGAAACCCTGTCTCGAAAAACCAAAAAAAAAAAAAAAAAACCAAAACCAACCAACCAAACAAACAAGCCAAAGGTTAGCAAGAGCTGTTTTCCACTCAGAAGCACTCTTGAAACAGTGTGCTTGCCACAGATGCACTGCCGGGGCATGGGGCATACCTCCTGGCGGCTAGGAGAGGCCGGGCCCCAGGCCCTTCCGGGCTGTCAGTTTTCTTTGCATCATCCTCCCACTGACACAGGGAGTTAGCCTCAGCCCTGTACAGCCTAAGTGCCATCTCCAGAGGCAGTAAGAGGATGTCACATAAGAAAAAGAGTCAGCCCTAAAGGGGGTGTAACCAGCAAAGACATCCACTTCCCCCTTCAGGTCCCCCTTCTGCCAGTACCCCAAGCTGGGAGTCTTCTAGGATCCACTGAAAGGGGTCACCTAATACACTGAGTTCCTGCATGAATGCGGCCACCTCTTGGCTTATTTTTGGTCCAGAAAGACCTTGAGAACTCGTCCCCATAACACCTGTTTTGTCTGATGGCTGACTGAAGACAGGGTGCAAACAAGAATGGGAATCAGAAAGGGTCGTTTCTACCCCAAGGTCAGTCCATTTGAAAACGGATCCTTTACTGAGCAACTTTAAAGTTATCTTGAGCTTCCCAGAGAAACCGGCTGAAATCCTGAAGATATGACAGGAAGAGCTTCTTCAGGCTGCACATCACTGCCCCTGCTCACAGCTCAGGTCTCCAACATGCACTGCCCACCGTAAGTGGCAAGCTACGATCCCCTTCAATCTCTCCCAAGCCGAAGCATGGCTCTCCCTGAGCCTGTTCTTAACTAACGTCCTAAAGCAAAAGCAGCTGCAACGCCAGAAGCAACCTCTGCAGAGAGAGAACTGTGCAGAGTAAGCAAAAAGTTTATCTGGAAGGGTTGCTCTGTCAAACTTCAAGAGCAACAGCTTCGCACTGAATGACAGAAGCTCCTGCACTCCGGAGGGTCCCGAAGAAGGTTGTCTCAACTCTTCACTCATCAAAGGCACAGTGGCCTCATCTTGCTCCCTCCTGCCCACAAGGGCGTCCTGGTCCCCGGACCGCCCTAGACTACGCGGTCTCGTGCCCTCCAAAGCCCTCTCAAAGGTTCTCCAGGCCCCGCCTCACCTCCCCCATTCTACTCCAGCCGCCCCCTGGCTTCCCCAAGCCCACTAGTGACCCACTACAGGCGCCCCCTCCTTTCTCCACGTTTACAGTTCCCTCTCACAGTGCCCCCTCCGCTCCTGCATACACCCCCAGTTCTCAGTTCTCCTAATCCCGGTTACCCCCTCTCTACTCAAGGGATCCGTTAACCCTTTGTCCCCACTCCCAACTTCTGTCTTAACTCCTTCCCCAGCATCAGGAAGCTCCCGGTTCCCAAGTACTTTAACCGTTTTCTTCCTGCAAATTACTTCGTCCCCGGCGCTCGAAGCTTTCCCGGCCGGCCCCCGTCCTCCCGAGGCCCAGAGCATACCAGTACTTGACGATAGCGGTGACCTGGAGCGGGTTCGGCTGGTCAGGGTAAAGGCGGCGGCACTCTCCGTAGATGGCGTGCAGTCCCGGGGGAAAGAGCGAGGCAAAGGCCGGAGGGGCACTAGGGCCAGGGGCCGGGGGCGCGGCGGGGCCGGGGGCGACGCTAGGCCGCAGCTCCGCCATCGGGGCGCGTGGGGCGCGCGGGGAACCCGGGAGGGGATAGGAGGGAAAGCGCCCCGATGGGCCGGCGGACCCACTGTGGATGAGACTCCCCGGGGCGATGGGGGCTACGGCGAGGTCTAACTCCGCGCCTGCGCACGGTGCTCCGTCCGCCCAAGCCCTAGCCTTCGCGGAGTCGGCCAGAGGGTGCTGCGGGACCGCGGGGAGCCCCAGGGGGCGGGGCGTCGGCGTGCCCTTGGCTGGCATCCATTGGCTAGTGCCGCTGCCAGTCACAAGTGGAGAAGGCGTGACTTGACAGTAGGCCCCGCCTCCCTGCCCCTGTGCTGGGAGCGTCCCAAGGATCTTGGCCTCCCCCTAGTGTTAGGAGGAACCCCATGTTAAACCGAGGCGGGGTACCTAGAGGTGCTAGGATCCGGTGAAAGTTAAGAAGCTCCTACAAAGCCCTTAACATTATTTTGCTGACACACAATTTTAAGGTAAACTTGACAACTGACCAATTATTCATTTGTGTGTCATTATTAATATATTACAACTCTAATATTTCTTGGTGCTAGGGACTAAACGCAACTTGAAGAGGCAGGGAAATAAATACTCCAGGGCATTTACGCAACTTTCTCCTCACCTGAATATTTTCATCCATCAAGGTTTTAAGCTCTAGAAAAGAGATATTAAAGCAGTTTCTAAAGCTTTAGATAATATTTTAGACCAGTAGTTCAATTGCACCCAACTACAGGTATTTTTGATAACCTTTGTTAGCTTTTGCTTCAAGGGTTTTTGTTTTCTTTTTCGAGACAGGGTTTCTGTGTGGCCCCGGCTGTCCTGGAACTCACTCTGCAGACCAAGCTGACCTCGAACTCAGAGATCTGCCTGCCTCTGCCTCCGGAGTGCTGGGACTAAAGGTGTGTGCCACCACTGCCAGCTGTGGATCTTGTACATGCTAGAGAAGCTTTCTACCACTGGGCGACATGGCAGTCCCAGAAATGTTTATTAATGGTTTATATTACCCAAATGAAGAAATGGCTGAGTGATGGGGCTAACCTGTAAAATTCAACCGCCCCTGAACAAATCCAATCTCAACTACGCACAAGTACTCCAGACTCCAGAATTTAAGAGTGTGTTGGGAAACGCTTCGAAGGGACTACAAATCCAGGCATGCAACATAATCATCGACCTGTGGCTCTTGAGTCTACCGAGACTACAAACCCCATGGCACCCTACAACGGAAATACACCGTCCAATTTTCTAAACCCGGTGGGACTCGGGCCCCGTTTGGAGCGCCAGCCCTGGGGCAAAGGATGCTGGGGATTGTAGTTCTTCGGAGGCGAGGTCGGGCCGCTCCCTGGAAGCCCAGTACCGGCGACTAGACTGCGCATGCGTGTCAGTGGCGTTTGCAGCGGACCGGGCTGGCAGTTCCTTCCTCGGAAGGGAAGATTCCTCTGCCATGGAGTCCTACGATGTGATCGCCAATCAGCCTGTTGTGATCGACAACGTGAGTAGCGTCTTTCCTATCTCTAAAGAGTCTGTGCTGTCCTCCAGAGAGGATCGTTTCCGAGGCTTCAGCCTAGGCCGCCTGCTCTTTGTCACTGGCCCGGCCTGTCAGGCGGGTTCAGCTGCCGCCGCCCCCGTCCTCCTCACATCCATAGTTTGCAGGCAGGGCGGCCAGCAGCACCCGTGTGATGGAGAATTTGAGGGTAGACAAAGGGAAGAGCTGTAGTCCGAGAAGGGTCCTTGGACCCTCGGCTGAAGGGGCCTTAACCGTTCTCCGAGAACCTAGCACCCGCCTTCTCCCTGGTTTCCCATCACTCAATTGGGTGCGCTTGCTGTCTATCTTGGCCTATTGGTCCCGCCTTTGGGCCTTGCCGGATTAGAACAGCACTCTGCGATTATTGGCTGGCGCGCTTGTCGCTCTTCCAGCCTCCATAGTGTTTCCCTTCTGTAAGGGGTGGGGCAGTGCACTAGGGCGGTAGGGATTGGCTTGGCTCGCTCAGGGTGCGGAAGGCGATGGCTGGTCCACCGGAGAAGGGCAGTTTCCTTGGGTGTGAGCCTGCCGGGCGGCATAGTAAACTGCATCTGGGTGGGGCCGGATTACCTGGTGCCAGAAATGGCTATGGGATTTCAGTTATTTTTGTGATTATAAATTATGGTTAGTAAAGGTAAACAAAAAAGGATAGTGACAAAGCAGGCGGGCCCAGATGAGAGGCAGGGAGATCATCAGACGCAGTGTTTGTCAGGCGCGCTAGCGTCTCCAGGGCACCTTCGCCAACATGTGAGTTGAAGCCTCACAAAAAGTGAATGGTTAGGAAGGAAGCTTGCTCTTCCTTCCACAGATGAACACCGAAGATGGAGGTGATCAAGGTCATATTCCGCAGCGCTGCCCGATAAGTTTCATCGCCTTATCTAAATGTCATTCCTTTGCTAACCAGCCCTCCACAAATGCATCAGTAATGACGAATAGAACCTTTTATGAGGCGGGGAAGTTGTCTTCAGTTTCTGTATTTCACTCAAAGGTGTGGTCCCGTCGAGACTGATCGGGATCTTCCTGTGCTCTTTCAAGATCATCCTTTGAGGCAAACTACCAGTTCCCACTGTCTTAGGCTGACCTTGTCAGAGTAACTGTGATGCTCCAGCCCTTCCGACCTGGGCGGCCACTAGGTTCTTTTATTTGCATCATAGGTAGATGGAGATGGCTGTTCCCAGTTTATGCAGGAACAGGAGGCTTAGGAAGGTTTTTCAGACCACACACTTTTAGGAGTTGAAGATCCAAGACTCACACTGAAATCATCTGATTCCAAGTTCTTCAGTCTTTCAAGGAAGGCTGCTTTATTTATTGTGTAAACTGTCTTTTCAAAGGTGAGGCTGAGACTGGGGGGCGGGAGGGGGGGTGTGGCCCAGCTAGTAGTGCTCATCTGACATGCATGAAATCGTGGGCTCCATCCTCAGCACACCATAGACCTGGTATATAAATCCGATTGTGGTGGTTCATGTCTGTAATCCCAGCACTAGGGAGTTGGAGACAGGAAAATCAGAAATTCAAGGTCTTTGTTTGAAGCCAGCCTCTAAGACGTGAGACTCTGTTTGTTTGTTTGTTTGTTGGGGCTAGGGAGTTGAGCAAAGTTAATTAAGTGAGAAGACTTAAACTCCCTAGAGCTAGAGCTAGAGCTAGAGCTGCAGGCAGTTATGAGCTATCCAACATGGATGGGGTGAAAGGAGGGATCCAAACTCTGGTTTTCTCCAAGGGCAGCAGCGAGTGCTCTTAACTAATCTCTCCAGCACACCACTACTCTCCTTATCCGCATGACTCGAAATGGTGCCACAATGTACAAAATAAAGCCTTTTCATTGGCTAGGTGGGCAAATGGGTGAATAACTAATGATCTCTATCATGGTTCCAATCAAGATGAGGGGTTTCCGCTATGTAATACTGTAAATGGTTGAGTAACACTTCTTTCTTTTGTTTGTTTGAGACAGGGTCTCGTATAACAGGGTCTTCTTATTCTCAAGGCTGATAGCCAGAGAACACTACTACTTATGTCTTTAGCTAGTTTCTGTGTGTTGGATTGACCTTTTTGTTGTTAAAATTTTAAAAATGCATAGAAATGATCAATCTATCAATGGAGAAATGGCTCAGTAGTTAACAGCTCCTGGTGCTTTTCCATGAGGGCACTTACAATCTGTAACTCAAGCTCCAGAGGATCTTTGTTTTCTGAGGGCACTTGCACTCACATACACAAGTAAAGCGAGAAATCCACGGAGTCTGTTTAAATGGCAAGGAATTTATTAGGGGATAAAAACTCACTACAGATTTATCGTAGGGTCCTGGAAAGCCGAGCTATGGTCCACACTGTTCTTCCGCCTGGTCCATCTCAGCATCCAAAATCACAAGGGGAGAGATCAGCGCCATCTCAGGTCTTAAGGATCCTGAGAGGCCACGCCCCAAGGAGATGTACTTCAAGGTCAAGGGCAGGTGGAGCAGTTACCTGCTGCCTCTCTAGGGGTATGCTTCATGGTCAGAGCCAGAGCAGCTCCCCACTGCACACAAAACATACACACATTCACATAATTATTGTTTTGACATTGGCAGTGCAGGAGCAATCTGTTCATCCCACCAGCTCCTTTGCCTTGGATTCCTGGAGCTGAAGTCACAGGCAGTTGTGAACCACTCAATATGGATTCTGGGAACCAGACTCAGTTCCTTGGAAGAACAGCAAGTGCTCTTAACTGATGAGCTATTTCTTTTTTCTCTTTTGAGATCTAAATACATCTCAAATTATGTGTACTACATGCATTCAGTGCCTGCTGAGGCCAGAAGAGGGCGTCCGATGCTGTGGAACTGGAATTACAGACAGCTGTGAGTTGCTGAGCTGGTGCTTGGGAATTGAACCTGTGTCCTGTGGAAAAGTAACAAGTGATCTTAACTGATGAGCCATCCAGCCTGTTTCTTTTCTTTTCCTTTTTTTAAAGACTTATTTATTTATTATGTATACAGTGTTCTGCCTGCATGTATGCCTGCAGGCCAGAAGAGGGCACCAGATCTCATTGTAGATGGTTGTGAGCCACCATGTGGTTGCTGGGAATTGAACTCAGGACCTCTGGAAGAGCAGCCAGTGCTCTTAACCTCTGAGCCATCTCTCTAGCCCCCAGCCTGTTTCTTTTCTTACAAAGACTCTCACTATGTAGCTCTGACTACCCTGGAGACTCATTATGTAGACAAAGCTGGCTTCAGACTTAGGGTCCTCCCGCCCACCTGCCTCCAGAGAGCTGAGATTACAGGTGTGTACCATCACACCCAGCTGGTTTTCTGATTTTCCCAGACAAATCAGAAAGGTAATTTTACCTGCAGTCTTCCGTTTGTATCCATTGCCAGTAAACCTACAAATCTGTTGTGATTTACAAAAACAAGTAGTTGGTAGCTGCAAGTGCTAGAAGAATGGATACATCCGAGGCAGAATGACTGTTAGTGCGCACCAGGCCTCTTTTTGGAGTGATAAAAAGAAGTTCTTCAATTAATTACAGGTTTGTGACCAACCTTGGCTATATGGTTAAACCCTGATTATATACAAGTCTGACCATACTTAAATACATTGAATTGTACTATACCTTAAATTAGTAAATTATATATGTGCCATGTAAATTTTATCTCAGTAGGTTTTTTGTCTTTCTTTAAAGTACTTTCTGAACCAAACAAAAGTCTTAGGATCAAAATGGACCAATTAACAACCCTTGTCCTAGAACCAGTGCTCTGGGAATCCTGCTCCTGTGAGGTGGGAGGTCACGAGCCTCTTTCCCACCACATCAATCAACCTGAAGGGTTTAAGATAAAGTCTTCTCAAGCCACAAGCCCGCAGCCAGCTGGTGCTGGGAGAGCCTGCTGGGGGAGTTAGGAGAATGGTCATCGGTGGCTAGGAGCTGACTTTGTCCTCCCAAGTCAGGACTGCACTTTCAGGAAGTCGCTACGGGGGTGTTTGTTCATCTCCTTCGATGAAGCGATTGGCGGGGCGGCAGCTCGTTGCCTGGTCCACAGTTCCCGTGGAAATGCTGTTCAAGAAGTAGATGTCTCCTTTCTGTATGCTCTGCGGCACAGCCTGCAGAATAGAGCACCCCAGCTCACCTCCTGTCCTTGGCTTATTGGTCCAGCCCTCGCTCGCTCCTCCTGGCAGCCCGGCCGGGGCCGTAGGGACAAGCTGGGGCTGGTTCTTCCGATGCATCTCTCCTGATGCCACTTTTACCTTCCCGGCACCACCTCTGCCTGGGGCTGCTTGCTGGCGTTCTGGCTGCCCGTTCAGGTTTATAATTTAGGTTCCACTCGCCAATTTTTTTTTTAATTTAAAATTTTTTTTTTTTTTTTTTTTGAGACAAAGTCTTACTCTGTAGACCAGGCTGGCCTCAAACTCAGAGAGATCCTCCTACCTCTGCCTCCGGAGCGCTGGGATTAAAGGTGTGCACCACTATGCCTGGCAACTGTCTGCCAGTCTTTGGCTCGTGATTTTAACTTCCATCAACTAGTCTCTTTTGAGTGTCTAGCAAATACTGCTGTGTGACTTCTCTGATCTGGAGGAACTTGGGATGAAGTAGAGAAAATTAGGAAGCACAAAGGGTTGGGGATTTAGCTCAATGGAAGAGCACTTGCCTAGCAAACCCAAGGCCCTGGGTTCAATCCTCAACTCAAAAAAAAAAAAAAATTAGGAAGCACAAATTCTAACAGAGGGCAGTGAGACACGTGCTTTGTAATGGTGAGCGAGATACAGGAGGATGATCACAGGGTTATCCTTCAGAAAGGCACAGTATTGCAACTGGGCCTGTCATACTCTTGCTAGAAAGACAGACAAATAAATGAGTCTGGCATTGCTTCTCTTGGCTTTGGGTTCTTTTGCAATTTATTTATATTTTATGTATATGGTGTTTTGCCGGCATGTCTTTTACACCACAAGCATGCAATGCCCAAGGAGGCCTGAAGAGGGCATCAGATCCCCTTGGAATTGGAGTTGTGAGCTACAGTGTGTATGTTGAGAATCCAGCTTGGGTCCTTAACCACTGAGCCATCTCTCTAGCACCTCACTTGTTTTTTCTTTGTTTGTTTGTTTGTTTGTTTTGAGACAATATCTTGCTGTAGAGCTTCCTTAAACTGTGGATCTTCTTGCCTCAGCCTCCAATTGACAGTGTTACAGACAAGTACCACCATGCAAGGCTGAACCTGACATCTTCATCTGTCTTGCTACCTAGACTCTTGTCCTTGTGCTAGCAAACTCAAAGCAAACAACTTGGAAAATCAACCTTAAAAATATTCAAATCTGGGGCTGGAGAGATGGCTCAGTGGTTAAGAGCACTGGCTGTTCTTCCAGAGGACCGGGGTTCAATCCCAGCACCCACGTGGCAGCTCACAACTGTTTGTAACTCCAATTCCAGGGAATTTGACACCTTTATACCAATGAACATAAAATAAAGTTAAATAATTTTTTTTAAATTCAAATCTAAGGGGGCGGTGGTGGTGCACGCCTTTAATCCCAGCACTCAGGAAGCAGAAGCAGGTGGATGGATATCTGTGAATTCAAGGCAAGCATGGTCTACAGAGTAAATTCCAGGACAGCCAGAGCTACATAGTGAGATCCTGTCTCAAAAAGAAAAAAAAAAAAAAAAAAGGAGCCAGGCAGTGGTGGCACACGCCTTTAATCCCAGCACTGGGAGGCAGAGCCAGGAGGATCTCTGTGAGTTTGAGGCCAGCCTGGTCTCCAAAGCAAGTTCCAGGAAAGGCACAAAGCTACACAGAGAAACCCTGTCTCAAAAAACCAAAAATAAATAAATAAATAGAAAAACAAAAGACAATAAATAAGTAAAATATTCAAATATAAGGGGCAGTGGTGGTGTACGCCTTTAATCCCAGCACTTGGGAGGCAGAGGCAAGTGGATCTTTGTGAGTTTGAGGTCAGCCTGTTCTACAGAGCGAGTTCTAGGACAACCAAGGCTCTACAAAGAAACCGTGTCTCGAAAAACCTAAAAAAAAGAAAGAAAGAAAGAAAGAAAGAAAGAAAGAAAGAAAGAAAGAAAGAAAGAAAGAAAGAAAGAAAGAAAGAAAGAAAAAAGAATTCAGATCTGAGAATATGCATGGAAGCACATGCCTGTAATCATAGCATTCAGGAGGGAGAGGCAGGGAGATCAGAAGACGTTTCGGGTCACCTTCAGCTACAGAACAAGTTTGAGGCCAGCCTAGGATATATGAAATTCTGTCTCAGAGCTCACCTTCACTTGTTTTGTCTGGAACCCCTGCCAGGAAATCCAACTAGTCTGTAGGCGTTACACACCCCATGAAGACAATGAACAATTATTAGAGGCTTGAACTAACAAGTTCCTAAAGGTCCTTTGCATAGTGCCGTTCCCATCCATCCGCACCTTTGTCCAGGCCCTGGGGTTTACCGCTGGAGAATTCCCCCTCCCTCCTCGGCTTTGAGCTCAGTTCACAGCTGCAGTTTCCCAGATCCCTGCCACACTGCCCAGCCAGTGAGTTTCCACATCATCTCCACTGGCTGTCTTCCGCCCCTAGAGGTTCCTGCTCTCCCCTCCTCACTGCTTCCCCAGCCCATCCTCCACTTCTCACCACACAGACCCTTCTCCTCAGACTTGCCAGAGGCAGACAGACACCAAGATGACTGTTCTCATCACCTCCGTCTTACCTCCACACCTCTCTGTAGAGGAGGGGAACCAGAGAGCCAAGGGTGTGCCAGAAAGCCGTTGGTGCTGAGATAACTTTGGCTACCTTGCATCTCGCACATATTAACTGTATGCAGTGTGAAGGTATGCTCTGTCTCAGGAGAAATGGTTGACTGAAGACCAGGTGAGGTAGAAGGGCATGGGAGTCAGATGTGGTGGTAGGTAGGTTTAGAAGGAAGAGAATGGGGCTGTATTTGCAAACAGCATCAGATCTTGACATCTTCCCTGCTCAAGGCTGGTATCAGTGCCTAGAGTCAGTGTTTACATTGGTTGGGCCCTGGAAGATATGATGCTTGGTAGAAAAAGAGATCTTGCTGGGCAGTGGGCGGTGGTGGCACCCACCTTTAATCCCAGCACTCAGAAGGCAGAGGCAGGCAGTTCTCTGTGAGTTTGAGCCCAGCCTGGGCTACAGAGTGAGTTCCAGGATGGCCAGGGCATTTACACAGGGAAACCCTGTCTCAAAAAAAAAAAAAAAAGAAAGAAAGAAAAAAAGAAGGAAGGAAGGAAGGAAGAGAAAAGGGGCTTTTTCCTGACCCTGCACCCAAGCAACAAGCCAAGTATTGGAGCAGGAGTGTGACTCTTGTCTTTTCTCCTCAGACAAGTCATCAAGGCCTCCCTGCTCTTGACTATCAGGAGGCAAAGGAGTAAAAAACCGGCTTCTAAAAGAGAACAGACTACAAAGTATAGTACTTCTGTCCTTTCTGTAAGAGCCAGAGAACATGCATTCGGTCAGAACTAATGCAAGATACTTGTAGTGAGATGTGTCCTAGAGACCCAGGACAGGGAGGTTAGAGCTTGAGGTAGGAACTGGATTGAAATCATCCCGTGCTAGTAGAACAGAGAAATACGCATGCTTGCCCTGCCGCCCTGTTGGGTACTAGAACTTGTGACTTCTCGGTAATTGCTATTCTTCGTGTTTTCTGTTTTATTTTTTCTTCCTTTATGAATGTTTTTAAACTTCATTTTATGTATTACTCTCATGTATGTGTGTAGACAGTACAGGCGTGTATGTACCACATACACACGTGGCGGCAGAGACCCAGTCTATAGAGTCGGTCACTCCTCCACCAGACTGGTATGGCAGGTGCTTCTGTCTGGTAAACTATCTCCTCAGCCCCATTAATGTCATTTGTTGTGTTCAAAGTAAAGTATGTTCCATGGAATAAGGAGGAAACTACAGAAACACCCAGCAGTTCATTGAGCATACAGTGGAAGTCCTGGTCACAACTCTGGTCCTTTCTCTCCCTGGATGTGCTCCCCTTTGCCTCCGCTCCTGTCGACACGCACAGATATGAGCGCTTTCTCTCTTAATGGAAATGGGACCAAACCGTAACCACTTGATTTATTGGTGGTTCTCACTTTTCTTTGTCCTCTCTCCCCAGGGATCCGGTGTGATTAAAGCTGGTTTTGCTGGTGATCAGATCCCCAAATACTGCTTTCCAAACTAGTAAGTCATTCTGAGGCTTTGTTGTGACTGTGGGGATCTTGTCAACTTTGTCCTGTGGCCAGCCCTGCCTCATTGAGGAGGAAGAATTCTCTCTCAAGTTAGCCTTGGTGTCCAAGACAGTAAACAAAGGATGTGAACCAGGTTTGGGATAAGCAAATGAATTTGTTACTACCTGGCATATTTTGAGAGGCACAGCAAAAGGCCTCTATTTTTTTTTAAGTGTGTGTGTGTGTGTGTGTGTGTGTGTGTGTGTGCGCGCGCGCGCGCGCGCGCGCTTGCGCACTGGAGAGCTTGTGAGTATGAGTGTGTGTGAATTGGAGGAAGTGGGTGCTACAGCATGTGGGTGCTGTCAGAACACAACATTGTGGAGTCAGCTTCCTCCCCCCACCTTTATGTGGTCCCAGGGATCACACTCAGGCCACCCACTTGCACATCAAGAGCCATCTTGTTGGCCCTCTTTTTAAAAATCTGATCCTAAGTCTGAGTGTGGTGACTCATGCCTTTAAGTCCAGCACTTGGGAGGCCAACCAGGTCTATATAGTGAGTTCTAGAATAATCAGGAATGCAGAGAGACCCTGTCTCAAAAAACAAACAACTAACCCCCCCCCCCCCCCAAAAAAAACACCCTCTGATTCTATCTAGTGCCATAAATTTTATCCTTGGGTGACTTAGAGAGCCACAGAGTCCTCCAATTTTATTTAATTAATTAATTTTGGTTTTTCAAGGCAGGGTTTCTCTGTTTAACAGCCCTGGCTATCTTGGAACTAGCTCTGTAGACCAGGCTGGCCTTGAACTCACAGAGATCCTCTTATCTCTGCTTCCTGAGTGCTGAGATTAAAAACATGTGCCACCACTGCCCATTTCTAAAAGCTCCATCTATATACACATCGGGAAAATACAAGAACCAGAGATATTATTTATAAAACAATGTAATAAAAGTAGATAATATGAAAGTAACTTCAGGTGCTGGAGAGATGGCTCAGTAATTAAGAGCACTGACTGCTCTTCCAGAGGTCCTGAGTTCAATTCCCAGCAACCACATGGTGGCTCACAACCATCTGTAATGAGATCTGGTGCCCTCTTCTGGCCTGCAGTCATACATGCTGTATACATAATAAATAAATAAATATAAAAAAAAAGAAAAAAAGAAAGTAACTTCAAACAGTACATGTTCTTTCTATAAAACACAGAAGAGTGTAAGAAAGAGAATGGAAGTTAACTGAGCCCTCCCTCTTCAGAGATGGCACAGTGGAATGGGAGTACATTACATTGGTGCATCTGGACTGTGTCCTTCCTGGTCTGTCCTAAAATGAGAAATGTTCCTTTGTGCTCTCTCTTCTAGTGTGGGCAGACCCAAACATGTTCGTGTCATGGCAGGAGCCCTTGAAGGTGACATCTTCATTGGCCCCAAAGCTGAGGTAATCCCCAGTCCAGCAGAAGGAGCCCTGGGACTTTTACTATCCTTCTGCATCCTGTCACTGCCTGACCAGTGTTAGATCAGTTGGCTTGGTTATATTTTTGGCAAGAGGGATTCAAAGGGGAGATCCAGTCTGGCCTGCCCTAGGTATGAGTTAATTACGCTAACTTTGGCAGAACCCCCAGACAGGCTCTAGGAAGCATAACTACAGAGTCATTGCTGCCAGTTTTGGTTCCACAGGGCACCTGGGGGCCATGGCAATGTGAAAACCTTGTGCTTTGCAGCTGCTAAGAGAGTACACGCAGCTTGCAGCACACAGTCTCCAGTGTAGAGAATGCGTGCCTACCCTCAGGGTGGATGAGGACCGCAGGCTAGGACCCGAGGAAGCTGAGGCTCCTTTGGAGGGATTCTGCTTGTACAGCTGAGGCCTGGGAGGGCAGGGGGACATGTGGAGCCCAACTGCTGCTACAGATCATGCCTTCTGCTTGCAGGAGCACCGAGGGCTGCTGTCCATCCGCTACCCCATGGAACACGGCATCGTCAAGGACTGGAATGACATGGAGCGGATCTGGCAATATGTCTACTCTAAGGACCAGCTGCAGACTTTCTCCGAGGAGGTGAGGGGCCTGTGTGCAGGACACTCCTGTGCAGGGTGCCAGGCTGGGTGGACCTACACTCCAGATGATGAGGATGACAGTGGCAGTGATAACTGCCAAGGGTTTGAGTCTAAATATGTGCCAGCACTAGGCCGTACACTTTGTGGATAGGTTCTAATTGTATCTTCCTGTCATCCATTCATATAGTAGAACTGAGCCGGGTGCTGATAGTGCACACCTTTCATCCCAGCCCTCAGGAGGCAGAGGCAGTTCTAACTTATAAATTAGACCTGAAGTTAGCTGTAGCAGCGTATGCGCGTAATGCTAGCCCCTGGAAGGTGGTGCCAGGATGGAGGGACATTTGAGACCAATTGAGGGCTGTGTAGCAAGACTTTTTTTTTTGGAGGTGGGGGTATTTCAAGAGAGGGTTTCTTTGTGTAGCCCTGGCTGTCCTAGAAATAGCTCTGTAGACCAGGCTGGCCTCAAACTCACAGAGATCCACCTTCATAGGATTAAAGGCATGTGCCACTATCGCCCGACCTTGTTTTTTGTTTTTTTGAGACAGGGTTTCTTTGTAGCCCTGGCTGTCCTGAAACTCCCTCCATAGATCAGGCTGTGCTCAAACTCACAGAGATCTGCCTGCCTCTGCCTCCTGAGTGCTGGGATTAAAGGTGTGCGCCACCCCCAACTGACTGTAGCAAGATTCTTATCTCAAAAAACGAAAGTGGGGGCTGAAGAGATCCAGAGGTCCTGAGTTCAATCCCCAGAAACCACTTGGTGACTCACAGCTGTCTATGGTGGGATCTGATGCTCTCTTCTGGCATGCAGGCATCCATGCAGATAAAACACTCAAGCATAAAGAATTCTAAAAGCAAAACAAACAAACAGAAGCATTGCAGAGGACCTAGGTTCAATTCCCAGCACCCACATGGCAGCTCACAACCACCTGTAACTCCAGCTTCAGGCAGATCTGACGCCTTCTTCGAGCACCTGAGGGCACCTGCACATGTGTGCCTACACACATACACATAAATAAACCTAAAAAAATAAAAACAAAAGATCTAGGGAGAATTATCTCTCTTTTACAAACAAGAAAAGAGGAAAGTAGACTGGGCATGCTGGTACATAACTGTAATACCAGCACATGGGAGGTAGAGACAGGAGGATAGGAATTCAAGGTCATGCTCAGCTACACAGCCTCTGTGAGGCCAACCTGGGCTACATGTCTCGAAAAAATAAAAAACAAACAAAATAATTAGGGCAGCAAGATGGCTCAGTAGAAGGAGAGAACTGACGTTACAAGGTGACCATTGACTTTCACGTATGTACTTGCAAGCATACACAAAATAAATGTAGAAAAATAAAAATTAAAAGGAAAGGAAATCAGAAAATCCAAGTGGTATTTCCAAAATCACTTAATGAATAAAGGAGTCGAGCCGGGATTCAAACCCACATCTTTCAGAGCCCATACTCATTAGCTTCCAAAGAACTGCTTCTCAGAGATGGAAGGGGAGTGTGTCAGTTTTCAAGGACAGGAAATGTTCAGGTTTTTAAAATGTTCAATATGTGCTGGAAAGCTGGCTCAGCATTAAGAGTGACCTCTGCTCTTCCAGAGGACCTGAGCTCTGTTTCCAGCACCCATGTGGAATGGTCCGTAACCACCTGTAACTCCAGCTCCAGGGGGATCTGATACAGGGGTACCTGCACTTACATGCACATACATACATAAACATAATTTAAAATAATTAAAATGTAAATAGGCATGGTTGCACACTTTAAAATATATATGTGTGTGTGTGTGTGTGTGTGTGTGTGTGTGTGTGTGTGTGTGTGTGCGCTCTATCTGCATGTACAACTTTATGCCAGAAGAGGGCATCAGATCCCACTATAGATGGTTGTGAGCCGGCATGTGGTTGCTGGGTCTTGAACTCAGTACCTCCAGAAGAGCATCCAGTGCTCTTAACCGCTGAGCCATCTGTCCAGCCCCTAGGAGGCACACTCCTTTAATCCCAGCACTTGGGAAGCAGAAACAGGTGGATCTCTTGAGTCTGAGGCTAGCCTGGTTAACATATGTTCTAAGCCAGCCAGGGCTATGTATATCTTTTTAAAAAATAATAAAAGTAAGGGACTGGAGAGATGGCTCTGCGGTAAGAGCACTGGCTGCGCTTACAGAGGCCCCGGGTTCAATTCCCAGCACCCACATGGCAGCTCACACCTATCTGTAACTCCAGTTCCAAGGAATCCGACACCCTCCCACAGACATACATGCAAGCAAAACACCAATGAACATAAAATAAAAATAAAATTATAAATAACAAATAAGTAAATAAAAGAGCCGGAAATGTAGCTCTGTGGAAGAGTGCTTGTCTAGCATGAGAAACAATCTCCAGTACCACAAAAACAAAGTCTTAACAAAAATCAATATTAAATTTTAATTTTCTATTTTGAAATATATTTACAGTATCGTAGTCCAGAGTTTAACAAAATCTTCTTGACAAGTAGGCAATACACAGCAGATCCAGGGACCTAGAGATGAGTTTTGGAAGACAAGGAGGTGGACTCGGAGGGTAAGGACAGAATGGGACTTTAGGACGTGAATTTGGAGAGTAAAGATACAGACTTGGGCATGGCATGTGACAATCTCAGCTTGCCTCTTCTCTGAGGGGACTGACAGAGGCCCCCCGGACTAGCACACTTTTGAGGCAGGGTCATGAGGGTGTACAGCTGCCTCACACCGCCTGCCTCCTGGGCCTCTTTCCACAGCATCCTGTGCTCCTGACCGAGGCTCCTCTAAACCCTCGGAAGAACCGTGAGCGGGCTGCAGAAGTTTTCTTCGAGACCTTCAACGTGCCAGCTCTCTTCATCTCCATGCAAGCTGTGCTTAGCCTGTGAGTAGTGGCTGCCTGGCTAGCATGGCCTCACGTGGTACCCCCAGGCTCCGCAGGCGCTCTCCCCAGTGAGGAAGAGCCAAGAGTGAGAAAAAGAAACTTACTGAAATTAGACAGTCGGGCTCCTCGGAGGAGACCAAAAGCAAAGGTGTGGCTGGGACCGAGACTGTCCCAGTGTAGTAATCTCAGGTTTGGGGTCCAAGTCCACGATCAGATGCTGCCACCACCCTTCCTGAGGCTCAGTGCACCCCAGTATTGGCTCTGTGTGGACTGTGCAGTGCTCTGCTCTGCTGCTGGTGCGTCTGTGTAGCGAGTCTTCTTCTGTCCCGTCAGCCAGCTCCCAAATAACGACACGGAGACTTCTTACTAATTATGAAAGCTCATAGATTAGGCTTGTTCCTAGCTAGCTCTTCTTTTTTTTTTTTTTTTTTTTTTTTTTTTTTAATTTATTTTAATTTATTTTGCAATACAATTCAGTTCTACATATTGGTCACGGATTCCCTTGTTCTCCCCCCCTCCCGTCCCCCTCACCTTCCCCCCAACGCCCCCCCCCCCATTTGTGTTGTTTCTTTTTTTTTTTTTTTTTTTTTTTTTTTTTTTTTTTTTCCCCTTTTCTATTTTAATAAAAAGGAAAAAAAAGAAAAAGGTTATAACTAACAAAAGAAAAACTATATACAAAAGTACAATGACTATATACAATATATACAAGAAAAATATGGAACGCTTCACGAATTTGCGTGTCATCCTTGCGCAGGGGCCATGCTAATCTTCTCTGTATCGTTCCAATTTTAGTATATGTGCTGCCGAAGCGAGCACCTAGCTAGCTCTTCTAACTTAAATTAACCCATTTATATTACTCTACGATCTATCACATGGCCTTACCTCTCTTCCATCTTCACCTCCTGTTTCCTCTCCACGTCTCCCAGTGTCTCTTGTGCACCTAGATTCTCCTCCTCTTCCTTTCTTTTCTGGGAAACCTTCTGCTGTATTGGCTGTTCAGCTTTTTATTACACCAATCACAGCAATATATTTTTACACAGTGTACAAATATCCCACAACATATCCAGACAGTACCACCCTGCCATGCTCCCCACCCTGCCATGCCCCCCTCACCCCCGACCCCCCATGCCTATATCTTGTCTGCTGCTGATACCCTATGACCTACACAGAGGATTTATTTGACCCCATTAAGAAATCATGAACCAGCATTTGCAGGCTAAGAGATTTCCTGGGCTGAGCATGAGACTTCATGGTGGAGCACTTGCTTAGCATATACAAAGGTCTAGGGTTTGATCCTAGCACTTCCAAAACAAAAGTAAATTGAAGGATTGCATATCCAAATCTAAATTTGTGACCTCTGGACAAATGGAAAGTTCTCATATTTGGGGGCCTGTATTTCCCTAGGACAAAATTCAGCCTCAGCTGGCCGCAGCTGCCATAGCACGCAGGGTGTGCTAGCAGACTGCCTGTTGACCTCTGAACACTGAGGCTGCACAGGGGTTTGCCCCACCCTGAGTCTCTTACCTGTGTCATCTGGAGATAGGAAACTGTAGGCAGACCCCAGAGGCCGCATGGGGAAGTGAAGAGCAGCTGTGTTTTCCTTCACTCGTTTCTTTTCCCCACCCTTCTCTTGGGAGTTGAAACTACCCTTTAGGTCAGGTCCCTCCAGGGTAGTTAAAGGGCTGCTGTACTCTCTGACAGGAAGGCCTGTTCTTCAGGATGCTGGAGAACCTTTGCTCCCCACTCAAGGTTTCCCTAGTACTCCATCACCAGAAGGGCCCAGGACAAGTGTGTTTCTTCCCCGAGGAGTGTGGCACTCAGTGATGGCCCCTTTGTCTCAGTTATGCCACAGGCAGGACCACGGGCGTGGTGCTGGATTCTGGGGATGGTGTCACCCATGCAGTCCCGATTTATGAAGGCTTCGCCATGCCTCACTCTATCATGCGCGTCGACATTGCTGGCCGAGATGTCTCTCGTTTCCTTCGCCTCTACCTACGTAAGGAGGGCTATGATTTCCACTCCTCCTCCGAGTTTGAGATTGTCAAGGCCATAAAGGAAGTGAGTGCTGTCCTGTGGGCTGAGGGGTGGGAGGGGGAGTAGTGACCCTAAGAAGGAAGAGGGTTGATACTCCATGGGTCCTGGGTCAGGCTCTCTTCTCTCCTGGCTCTCCTGGCACTGTGTGCGCTCTCCCCTTCACCTTCCTGAGTGCTGCCATCTTGTGGGAAAGGAGCCATTTCCAGCCCCTAAGCTGGGCCTCTGCACAAGTGCACATTACTGCAAATTGTGCAGGTTCACCTCCTTGGAGAAGTTGAAATGCTTTTTTCTTCTCAAGTGTATCAATCCCCCCTGACATGCGTGGTTCTGGGGAAACCTCTGAGCTGCTCATGGGAAACCAGAACCATGTCAGAGGTAGATGTCTGAGCCTGGCTAAATTTGGATAGTCTCAGGCCCAGGAGCTACAGAGCCAAGTGCCCAGGTTTGCCTCCCGGGAAGTAGAACAAGAACTCAGGACAGTGTGACAGACCTCTGCCCGGGCTCCTGGGCAAGCACTTCAGGCAGTCACTGCCGACTGGCAGATCTCCGACAGCGTGTCACTTCTGTGGGACTTGGCCTGGGAGGGCACTGGGTTTCCTGCCACCCTGACTGTCGTACTTGATTCTGCAGAGAGCCTGCTACCTGTCCATAAACCCTCAGAAGGATGAGACACTAGAGACCGAGAAGGCACAGTACTACCTGCCCGATGGCAGCACCATCGAGGTAGTGCCCACATCTTTCCCTTTTTCCCTCACACCCACCACTAAGCCTGGGCTAAAGTGGAATGCCCTGTGAGGCCCTGAGCAACAGGACTCCCTATAGAGAAGGGAAGGGGCTCAGAAGGACTTCCCCAGGTCTGGATGTGTAAGGAAGTGGGTGTTCATGCTTCTTTAACCACACCCCTGGGTACAGATTAGCAAAGTCGCTGCTCCCCAGAACTCCCACTGATGAGATGTTTCCAAGAGTGTTATTGCCAGAGATCTCTTAGCCAGAGATGCTAGAGCCATTAGTACCATGTTTCCCCTCCCTGGTTTCCCAGAAGCTCCATTGGTTCCCAGGAGCCTTGTCTTTGCTCCTTGAGGTCCTTGACATAGAAGATCTGTCTTCAACCTGGGCTTCGCATACACCTGGTTCCTAAGAGACAGGCAGAAAGACCCCTTCCTTCCCCAGTTTCCAGGGACCTCAGTCGCAGCCCAACCTCTTAAGCTGGCTCTTTACCCTCCAGATCGGCCCTTCCAGGTTCCGTGCCCCTGAGCTGCTGTTCAGGCCAGACTTGATTGGGGAGGAGAGTGAGGGCGTCCATGAGGTCCTGGTGTTCGCCATCCAGAAGTCTGACATGGACTTACGGCGTACACTCTTTTCCAACATCGTCCTCTCAGGAGGGTCTACTCTGTTCAAAGGTTGGTCTTTGCTCATGGGACCCTTGTTGAAGATCCTATCCTGCAGGGGTTGGAGGCCCAGAGAATTGATTTGGAGGGGTCTCTTTTTTTCTGCCCACTTAGGTTTTGGTGACAGGCTACTGAGCGAAGTGAAGAAACTGGCCCCCAAAGACGTGAAGATCAGGGTAGGAGTGTACTGGAGGTCGGGCTGGGTAGAACTGGGCTCCAAGGACTGAGGCACACAGTGTGTCCCCTTCTGGGTCTCTCCAAGCTCTTCAGGCAACCACAGCACTATAGGCAGCGTCAGGGGCTCCTAGCACATAGAAGGACCCTAGAGTATACATCTGCCTCCAAGAGGGCCCACTCTCGCTCTTCACTGTGGCCCGGCAGCTAGATGTGTACACGTGTAATCCTAGCACTGTGAAGGCTGAGGCAGGAGGACTGCCAAAAGATCAAGGCTAGCCTGGGCTACATAGAGAGACCCTAAGAACAGTCAAGTGCCGATACCTGAGTGTGTTAGAGTGCTTAGCTGGGACCTCACTGTGGTCCCTCAGGAACACTAAATTGACTGACGTTACCATCGCCACGCCCCTCTCGTCCCTCAAGGCAGAACCCTGTAGTGCAGTTTGCCTTGTGAGTGGTGCTGAAAGGAGTCACTTCATGTGGCGAGGAAACTGAGGAAAGGCTCTGATTCCAGCCACAGGCGTAGTTCCTGCTTAGTGTCAGGCTGACCACAGCTCCTGCAAGAAGCCACAGGTTCAGCAAGGAACCTTGTAGGTTGCATGGATGCATGCAGCATGGCATGCATCCACTGTTCTTGTCAGTGAGGCAGTGCAAGGTTGGCAGGGCGGGGTGGGCAGATGATTCAGTGGATAAAACTCTTGCTGTCCAAGCATTAGGACCAGAGTTCAGTCCCCGGATTCACATAACAGCCAGGTATGCATGGCGGCCACTTGCAGTTGCAGCTTTTGGAAGGTAAAGACAAGGTCCCTAAGGACAGGCTGTCTAGGTAGACTAGCCAGAACTGGCAAACTCCAGGTTCAGCAAGAGCGTCTTGCTTCAGTACTTAGAGCAATCGAGGAAGACACCAGATGTCCACGTTGGGCCTCTGTGTGCTCATGTGTGTGCTCACGTGTGCGCACACCCATGCTCTCATATACCTGGAACACACACACATGCAAAAGAGGAATAAGTAGGGTCGGGTGTCTTAGATTCCTCTTTCCATCCCCCTCTGCAGATATCTGCACCCCAGGAGAGACTGTATTCCACGTGGATTGGGTGAGTAGCCCGTGGAATAAGTACAGAATGGGAAGCGAGAGCTCGGACCATTCCACCCGCCTACCCTGTCCCTTAAGAAAGGACCCTGAGGGACTGGCTGGCTGCACAGTTTCACTCACACTGCTCCTTTGGGTTTTCTCCACTCCAGAGGCTCTATCCTTGCTTCCCTGGACACCTTTAAGAAGATGTGGGTCTCCAAGAAGGAATACGAAGAAGATGGTGCCCGGTCCATCCACAGGAAAACCTTCTAATATTGAGACGTCACCTTCACCTCCCTCTGAAGTTAACTCCACTTGAAAACTCGCTTTCTTGAGTTGGAGTGTTGGAGAGGAACTGCCTGTATGTGTGAGTGAGTGTGTGGGTATGTATGAGTGTGTGCGCATATCGAGTGCCGTGTGGCCCAGGGATCCTGGGCCCAGAAAGGACATTGAACTACCCACGATGGTGATGGCCTGAGGCCTGGGGTTGACTACTAACTGGCCCCTTCCAGGGAAGAGCTCTGGCAGAGGCCCACTCCTTTCTCAGCTAGGCCTTTGGCTGGCTGTGTGGAACTATGGTTACTACCATAGAGAGACCTTGCTGCTGCCAATCTAGGCTGGGCTGGCCCCACCCCACCCCAGAGTGCCGTGAGGCTGGAGGCAGCTGCTGGCTCCCCTGCTCACCATTCTGCTGTCCATGCCTCTGGATCAGACTGAGAACTGCGGCTGGGGCTAAGTGCTGTCTGGCTTTGTTTCATTTTGGGTTTGGGAGACTGAAAAAGCGCTCCAACAGTGGCTGTAGACTGGTCTCAGGAGACAGCAGGGTACACTCATGGCCACAGGGAACCAGGTAGGAACCAGGACCACACTGGGCATTTGAGGAGGACAGGGAATAGCTGCAGGGTTAATTTACAAGCCCCAGCCACATCCAGGGGTCCTGGGAAACTGTAAGGACCTGTGGGCTCCAGCTCCTGGATTTGCTTCTCATCCACCCTTGTTCCAATGCCATCTTCACAGTTTTATTTATTGTACGTTTATTCGGTAAAGGGACTGCAGAGAGGGCTCACTGTCCCCTGCTTACACACCACCGGTCACCTTGCTTACACTAATGTTTACAGCACCTAGGCTTTCCATAGCATCCGGGCCGTCACCCCTGCTGATTGTGAACTGACAGTATTCATAGGCCTCAGGACTCTGCGGGATTGGAGGCTGCACACAGAGGTGCCCAGGCAGTCTCTTCTTTCCTCCTTCCTCCGTTTGCTCACTGCCCTGGAACCACCAGGCTGGTTGCGGCTGGATTTTCAAAACAGGAAATCGCATCACTCTTTGGCAGAGGCCTCTTGCGAGGGAGGTATGTTGGAGATCTAGACCCTTGAAAACTAAGACAGCTGCAGTTGACCATGTTGCCTTCCGCCACTCTAGCTGACGAGGGAGGCTAGGGTAAAGTGGTGGGGAGGCCCCTTCTGGGCTGGCCAAAGGCCCCCCTGACTTTGCACCTGTTTGGGAATGGAGAGAAGGGCCCAGACCAAAGTGCCAAGAACTGATGGGCTCTGGCCTGGCTCTCAGAAGCGGTCCAAGGACCTTTGTACCCACACAGTACAAAGCTAGGGCGAGCCCGTCTGCACCGACATTCTCACCAGTGATACCAGGTCCACCTCAGCTCCAGATTCCAGACAGTATTCTCTCTCCACCATCCTATGACCAAAGGCCCCTGCCAGATGTAAGCTGAAGCTGGTGTGTGTGGAATCAATGTGGCAACCCATGGACTGCAGTGCGCTTAACCAGCTCCATCTCTCTTAGCCCAAGCCTGTCCCTTGCAGAGCCTCGCAGAGCCACGTTGCCTGGTGGGGCCCAGTGTACTTAAATAAAGTCGTTCCAATAGATCTAACAGTTCGGCCTCTCTGTGTGGCCAGTGCCTGGTGAGAAGAAAGGGAACCTATGGTTTCTTAAAATCTGATATGCAGACCACACCTCAACCTGTTCGGTGCTGGAAAGAGAACTGAGGATCCAATTGCTGGGTACACTCGAATCCAGGGGTGAAACCTGACTTCAAATGATGAACATCTTGTCATCCCTGAAATCAGAACTCTTTAAAACTCGTGTGTGTAAGACACTTTGACCAGGCCTGTGATGCTAGCTACTCAGGAAATTGAAGCAGGAGAATCACAGGTTTAGGATCCTCTGGTTAAAGAGTAAGTTCAGAGCCAGCCTCCACAACTTAGTGAGACCGTCTCAGAATAGAGCTGGGTCTCCAGTTCAGTAGAGCACTTGGCTGGCGTGCATGAAGCCTTGCCTTCAACCCTCAATGCCTCTCACCCCCACACAAACCCTTTGGGAATGTTTCAAGATGAAGAGCCTGACCACTGAGATGTCTGTAGATAAAGGGCCCTTACAAAAATTGTGTCTACCTGTATGTGATTCCAGGCCCCACATCGAATTGACTGCATGCAGCACGCTGAGCCCTGACTTCCACACGCACACCCATGTACACCCATACTCACACGAGCAAACATAATAAGGATTTCCTCTTAAAAAATTGAATCTGGGGTGGTGGTGGCGCACGCCTTTAATCCCAGCACTCAGGAGGCAGAGTCAGATGGATCTCTGAGTTCAAGGACAGCCTGGTCTACAGAGTTCCAGGACAGCCTGAAAAACATTCTCAAAAAACCAAAATCAGATAATTTAAACCTGTATCTAAAAGGAAATTGCCAGATACCTAACAAATGTTTACACTCCCCAATAACTATAAAGTATGGGTGTTTTTTGATCCATATCAAAAAGACTGTCAGAACCACAAAAATATAAGTAAATAACTCAGCAACTGCTTATTGACTGGGTCATGTGCCTACAGTCCGATCCCCTGTGCAGACCCCCAGAACCACTGCCTAGAACAGAAGGTTCCCTTTAGGGTCAGTCTGCCACAGGACACATCTAGTGATATCTGAAGACTTGTTCGGTGATCAGAACTGGACAGTGGGGATGCTGTTGACATCTGGTAGGGAGAGGCCAAGGGTGCTGCTAAATAGTATGCGACTGTCCAACAGTGAGGGAAAATCACCTCCAGAGGGTTTCATTACATAAAGGCTCACACTGCTGTTCCAGACCCATTCAGTCAGAATCTGGGCGAAAACTCAGGCATTGGTATTTGGGAAGCTCCTCGCGTGATTCTGGGCGGAGAACCCCTGGCCTAGCAGAGGCTCCTTTTGATGACTGTCCAGCAATGGCATGTGGGAGGTCCACAAAGGGAACTGTCGCCGGGTCTGATCACCCGGCAGTCTGCTGGACTGATTCGGTGGTGGTGGTGGTGGTGGTGGTGGTGGTGGTGGTGGTGGTGGTGGTGGTGGTTTTGTTTTGTTTTTTAGGCTAGCTTGGAACTTGAGGCAATCCTGCCTCAGCCTTCCAAATCCTGGGATTACAGGCACAGACGCCAGGTCTAGGTGGAATTAGCATGTTTTTCCTAGTATCACCAGGAAAATGCTCTTGGAGTACTTTTCCTGCTTCCCAGCCCCCACCAATCCTGTCTGCCTGCTCCCCCACACAGCACAGACCCGAGGAATAGGAATGACTGGCTTTACTTGCACTTCAATGAGAGGGGCCTCTTTAGAGTTTAGAGGCCTGCTGGGCTTTGGGGAGCCTACAGCACAGAGACATGCTTCTTCAAGCTGAAGCAGAGAGGCCTCTGAGAGAAACCACTAGGAGGAGGGGCAAGTGGCACTTCCAGTCAGCTTCACCTGAATGGGCAAAAGGAGTCACAGTGTCAGAAGTCCCTAAACCTCCCAAGTGGCAAGCCCCTGCTGCAGGCCCGCAGCAGCTCCTTGGGCACCGCATGCAGCTCTACCCTTTCTGCTCTTCCTTCCTGCTTGCCGCACAGGAGTCACAGTCCCTGAGCACATATGGCTCAGCCCTTGCCCCAGCTCAGTCAGACAGAAAAGAAGGGCAGACCTCAGTGCCGCTCCTGGTTCTGCCCCAGGAGCCCCCACACCATCTGTTCTCTGGGTGAAGAAGCAGGATGCTGGCCAGCAAGAGAGGCTCCTGCTGGGACCAGGGCACTGCCCGCAGCAGAGTGCCTGTGCCACACCTCTCACACCATCTTAATGTCCAGCGTATGGATCTGTGCCAAGTTCTGGCGCTGGGCCTTGACCACACGTAGACGTCTCCCATGCAGCGTAAACCGGGACCAGGTGAAGAGCTGGAGCAGTGCACAGGTGATGGGCACCAGCACCAGCAGGTAGAAGCAGCCCTGGCGGAGGGTTGGAGCCTGCGCAGGGGCTGGGGCTGGGGGCTCGGGCCATGGCTGAACACTCCCCACAGAAGTCATTGGGGGCTGCTGAAAAAGGTCATGACCTAGGACAAGAGCACACAGAGGGAGCGTGGTCAGCCCCGCTGCCCCCAAAGTCCACAGAACGGCATCTCAAACAGTGTAAGTGTCCTAAACTACAGCTTAAAATTTTTTTAAACAGTCTCACTACTGGCTGGCCTCAATCTTGCAGTTTCCTGCCTTAGCCTTAACAAGTAGCTGGGATTGTAGGTATATGCCACAATTCCTAACTGCTTATCTATATTTTATTTTATTTTATTTTATTTTATTTTATTTGAAACTGGGTCTAAGTTATCCTGGTTGTTCTGGAACTTGCTATGTAGACCAAACTGACCTTGAATTCACAGAATTCACTTCCTTCCTCTGCCTCTGAGGTGCTGGGATTAAAGGCAAGTGCCATCATGCCCAGCTTCTTCCTCCTCCTCCTCCTCCTCCTCCTCCTCCTCCTCCTCCTCCTCCTCCTCCTCCTCCTCCTCCTCTTGTCAGGGTATCTAGCCCAAGCTAGCCCTAAACTCAGTATGTAGTCAAGGATGACACTGAGCTTCTGATCCCCCTGCCTCCACTTCCTGAGTGCTCGGGTTACAGGTGTACATCACCACAGCTGGTTTATGTGGAGTCAAACTCAGGCTTCATGCATCCTAGGCAAGTGCTCTCCAGCTGAGCTATGTCCTGAGACAGTCTCATGCACCCTAGGTTGTTCTTGGAGTCAGTACGGCGCTGAAGGTAACCTTGAACTCCCCATCCCCTGCTTGTGTCCTGAATGCTGCAATTTCAGGTGTGTACCATCTGGCTCGGCTCCTACCCTAGCTCTTTTTCTGTTTGTCTGCTTTGCTTTTGAGACAGGGTTTCTCTGTGTAGCCCTGGCTGACCTCGAACTCACTATGCAGGCCAGGCTGGCCTCGAACTGTATCTCTTAATATCTGCCCAAACCCATTTCTCACATTCTTCCCTTCTCATGAGTGACCCAGCATGTCAAGCATCTGTCAGTCCTCAGCTGTCACTCCCCACACCCGTCCTTATGTGTCACCTCAGTTCCATAATGCATCCCACCTACCACCTCCCTAGTCCAAGCCTCCATGGCCTCTGCCAGTCTCCTCAACATCTCCATGCTACTGACCACTCTGTCTGTACGAACTCCTCAGGGCAGTGACAGTGGACTTCAAGATGTCAATCAGATGATGACACTTGCCGGCCTATAACTCTCCAACTTCCTTAGGCACTGAAAATCCAATCCATATGCCACCCTCTCCACCTCTCTCAGTGTCTAGAAGTTTTTTTTTCAAGACAGTGTTTCTCTGTGTAGCCCAGGCTGTCCCGGAACTCATTCTGTAGACCAGGTTGGCTCGAACTCAGAGACCACCTGCCTCTGCCTCCTGAGTGCCAGGATTAAAGACTTAACCACCTTGCCCCTGTTTAGACAGCTAAGATTTTGCCTGTCTTACCATTGTCACGTCCCTTACACACGGGACCAACCTATATAGAGGGCTATGCTGATTTGTTGAATGAATCAATGAACTTAGGCAAAAATGGAGAGGTAGGGTCACCAAGGGTTATCATCCCAAGGCAGCGCAGGCCTAGGCACAGCCCTCTGCCTCCCTCACTAGACCCAGGGCGGGTAGGACAAGGAGCCTCACCTGTGTAGAAGCAGAGAAGCCAGGTGCCCAGCAGTGGGGCAAAGGTCTGGCCAGGTTTGGTCACCAGGGCAACCATACCGAAGAGAAGCGCCGAGGCTGCCTGGGTCCGGTGGTTCAGCACCAGGTCCTCATCCACCAGGTCAGTGACCACCAGGGTCAGCAGCTTGCAGGTGCCCTCGGTGAAGACACGGTTGCTGCCCGTGGAGAGAGGAGCGAGCGAGTTAAGGGGGTGGGCACAGAGGTGTGGGGGCAAGGGTGGGCGGGGCATACCTGGCAATGAAGAAGCAAAGCAGGCCGGGGCGGTCTGGGCCAGCCAACAGCATGAGGAGGCTAAGGCCCAGCTTGAGCAGGAAGAGCCCCCGCACCACGGCATAGACACCCCAGCGCCGGCACAGGGGCAGGAAGTAGAGGTTGTTGAGATGAGGCGCAACATAGGAGATGCCTGGGGAGGGAAGAGGGCCCGCTTCTTCAGGAGCAATGCCACACAGCCTCTGCAGCAGCGGTTGGTAACTGACGTTGTAATAACCACTCAATTTGCATTAACTGTATACCAACAGTGTCTGGCACTTTTCACACTTTATTATCATAGCTTAACTTTTATGTGTATGCATGTTTTGACTGCATGTATATCTGTGCAGAGGCCAGAAGAGGGCATTGGATTCCTTGGAGTTGGGGTTACAGGCAGTTGTGAGACACCTTTTAGGTAAATGGGAATCAAACCCGGGTCCTCTGGAAGAGCAGCCAGTGCTCTTAACTGCTGAGCCACCTCTCCAGCCTGCTTTTCACACCTTCATTTTCACAAGCCCTTCAAGGTAGGTATTGTAGTCCCTTGGTATTTATGGGGGTTGACTCCAATACCCTTCATGCACAGCAAAATCTGTGGATTTTCCAGACCTTTATAAAAAACAGCGTTGGATCTGCATAGGACTTACATACATACTCTCATATCTTTTATTTTGTTTTAGTTTTTGAATTTAGGGTCATGCAGCTCAAGATGGTCTTGAACTCTTGATCCTCCTGCCTTCATCTCCTGAGGGTTGGTTACAGTCCTAACCACCACAGCCAGCTTTATTTTGTATTTTTACTTTATGTATTTGTTTTTGAGACAGGGTTTCTCGGTGTAGCCCTGGCTGTCCTGGAACTCTCTCTGTAGAGCAGGCTGGCCTCGAACTCACAGAGATCCGCCTGCCTCTGCCTCCCAGTGCTGAGATTAAAAGTGTGGGCCATTACAGCCAACCTATTTTGTTTTAATTTGCTTTTGTTTTGAGATAGGATCTCACTATGTGGCCCTGGATGGCCTGAAACTCATAATGTAGACCACACTCGCCTCAAACTCACAGAAATCAGCCTGCCTCTTCTTCCCGAGGGCTGGGATTAAAGGCCTGCACTGCCTTGCTCAACCTCTTTATTTTAATTTTAATTATTTTGACACAGGGTTCTCATGTAGCCCAGGCTAGCATCTAGCTTGCTGTGTAGCTTAGGCTGACCTTGAACTTCTGATCCTCCTAACTGTACCTCCCAAGCACATCGATTATGGACATGTATCATCATGTCATGTTTCTATGATTCTACCAACAAGGCCACACCCCCAACCCCTCTCATAGATTTTAAATTATCTCATTTTTCTTCCTTTAAAACATTTTTTTTGTTTGCTGAGATTTTTTTTTAATTGTTACTGTTTATTGTTTTTGAGACCCAGGATGGTAACAAAGTCTCATCAATCCTTAGTTTCCATAGTGCTGAGATTACAGGTGTGTGCCATCAAGCCTGGCATAAGTGCCGTCGATTATTTATAATATTCAGTACCATGTAAACACTATGCAAATAGCTGTTACACTGTGTCATGTAAGAGACAAGGACAGAAGGACAGAAAAGGCGGCAGGGTCAGTGAGACGGCTCAGCAGGTAATGGGCTGCCACCAAGCCTGACCACCTGAGTTCGATCCCTGGGTCCCACACGGTGAAAGGAGAGAAGCAATTCCTGCAAGCTGTCCTCTGACCTCCAGATGTACCCCATGGCAGGCAGGCACCCACACTCTCACCACACCCACAGTAAATAACAAACATGTAAAAACAAAGACGACTACCCATGTTTAATGGAGACACACTTTTGTTCTCCTAATACTTTCCATCTATGATTGGCTGAATCCATGGATATGGAACACACCAGTGTAGGGGCCACTGTACTATTGTTACCCTCCCTTTACAAGGAAGAGTGGGGGTGGGGAAGAAAGAAAGAAAAGGCCAGGCAGGGGTGGCGCACGCCTTTAATCCCAGCACTCGGGAGGCAGAGGCAGGCAGATCTCTGTGAGTTCGAGGCCAGCCTGGGCTACAGAGCTAGTTCCAGGATAGCCAGGGCTGCACAGAGAAACAAACAAACAAAGAAAATGGTAGTAGCTCAGAAAGATTCAATAGCATACCCAAGTCCACTCAGCAAATGGTACACTGGCCGCTGGCTGCATCACATTGCCTGTGGGTGTCACCATCACCGTGAGGACTGAGGTGAGGACCGAGGTGAGGACCATTAGACCTCCACCCAAGGAAAATGGAACTGGGGGCAGGATGTGCAAGCTGCTGGCCTGAGGTAGCACTTACCCAGCAGGAAGGAGCCTGTGGAGAGTGAGATGTGGTCCGACAGCAAGTGTTCCAGGAAGAGGGGGAAGAAGTTACTGTTGAAGTGGCAGTGAAATACCTACAGGACAGAAGGGTGGGAGTTCACAGGGCCATGGGCCAGCAGGGCCAGCGGGGGCAGGGGGGTGCAGCGGGAGCTGGGGGGGGCAGTGGGGGACAGCGGGGGGCAACGGGGGGAGGGGGGCAGCGGGAGCTGGGGGGGCAGCAGGGGCCGGGGGGGCAGCAGGGGGAGGGGGGTTAGCGGGGGCCAGTGGGGGCCAGCGGGGGCTAGCAGGGCCAGTGGGGGCCAGGGGGGGCCAGCAGCCCTGGACCTCTCCCCATGCCACCCAACATGGGACATACCAGAACAAACCTAAGAGACATTCCTTGTGGCCTACCTAATTTTAGTAAAAGTTTGAAGGCATGGTAAAATAGCAACTAGAACAATTTTTAAGTTTTCATGACATAAAAATAATGAATTAATTTATATATTTAAAATGTATTTAAACAAGCTGGGCAGTGGTGGCACACGCCTTCAATTCCTGCACTCGGGAGGCGGAGGCAGGCAGATCTCTGTGAGTTCAAGGCCAGCCTGGTCTACAAAGAGAGATTCAGGGCAGGCACCAAAACTACACAGAGAAACCCTGTCTCAGAAAAAAAAAAGTATTTTGGGTAACTTGTATACTACCTATGTTTTAGATGGGGCATTTGATGTTTTAAAAAAGATTGCTGCAGGGGCTGGAGAGATGGCTCAGTGGTTAAGAGCACTGGCTGCTCTTCCAGAGGACCCAGGATCAATTCCCAGCACCTACATGGTAGCTTATAACCTTCTTAACTCCAGTTCGTTCTGGGGGACCTGACATCTTCTGGCCTCTTTGGGTACCAGGCACACACTTGTGCACAGATAGATATGTAGCCAAAACACATAAAATAATAATTAAAAAAAAAAAAAGACTGTCACAGAGACCCCATAAAGGGAATCTCTCAGAGCCAAGTAGGGTGGCTCACTCTTTTAATCTCAGCACTTGGGAGACAGAGGCAGGTGGATCTCTGTGAGTTCAAGGCCAGCCTGGTCTATAGAATGAGTTCCAGGACAGCCAGGACTACACAGAGAATCCCTGTCTTGAAAAATGAAAAAGGGGGGGGGTGTGTGTGCTGTGGGATGGTCTTTCTGTATGCTGTGAATATGTGCTGCTACCATTGGTTAATAAAGAAACTGCTATGGCCTATGGCAAGACAGAATAGAGCCAGGCCGGTAATCCGAGCAGAGAGACAAGGAGAAGAAGGAGGAGTCAGAGGAGACTCTGAGGGCTGCCTGGGGAGCAAGGTGTAAGGGACACAGGTAACGCCAGGAAGCCACATGGCAAAACATAGATTAATAGAAATGGGTTGAATTACGTTGGTAAGATCTAGTTAATGATAAGCCTGAGCCATAGGCCAAACAGTTTGTAATTAATATAAGCCTCTGTGTGTTTATTTAGGACTGAATGGCTGTGGGACAGGACAGGGCAGGGCAGAAATTTCCATCTATGGTGGTGGTGGTGGTGGGGGGAAACAGAGAGAACCTCCCAATCTTCACATTATGGATGAAGACAGAACTGGCCTTGGAGAGAGGCTGAGACCTGCCAAAGATCTCATAGTGAGAGGCAGGGGTGGAGCTCAGTGGTAGAGTCATTACCTAACTCTCAGCACTGTGGGGATGGGGGCAATGGCACAAGGTAGTGGTGAACACAGAAGGTGCTAGAACCTAGGTCTCCTAAGGTCCCAGCCTTCCTACTATCAAACCTCAGGAAGGAGGGGTGAGGGAATGGCTCCCCATACCTGTACCAGGTCCATGCCCACGAACCACAGGAAGTTCTGATGGCGTGCCAGTTGCCGGAGGTACTGGCCCAAGGTGATGCCGCCTGCTTCCTGCCCACCCACCAGCAGCTCCTCTTCACACGCGCTGTGGGCAGAGGGGAGGAGACAGCAGGGGTTAGACCAGAGTGGGCCAGAGGACTGAGTGTTAAAAGTAGACTCTGACCCTAGGGAGCCAAGGCTAGTCACTTACCCGCCATCCATGACCAGGGCTGAGCACCCCCTGTCCCTCCTGGTGGCCTCAATCCGCTGCCTCAACAATTGTGTGGCCCCCAGAAAGCCCAGTCCAGAGCCGGCAGCTAGTACCACACAGAAGGCACGGAAGGAGGAGAAGTCCTCCTTGTTCCAAAAGGCGTAGGAGGCAAAGACGGACAAAGACCCGGCCGCGCTGAACAGGGAGCAGTAAAAGTTGAGGTGGGTACGGTCATGGGCTGAGAGAGCCAGGTCAGCCAGCAAGGCATGATGGTGGAGGTCCACGAGGGTCAGGAAGCCGTCATAAAGGCACAGGCACAGTAGGAACTGCAAGCCAGCCGGGGCCCAGGGCACCCAGAATGCCAGGAAGGACAGTGCCAGCAACGGCCCGTGCCAGCTCAGAGCCCGGACCCGTGTCAGCGCCACGTCTCTGGAGGAGGGCCCAGCTCCTGGCCTGCCAGGGAGAAGAAGGTGTTAGGAGGTAACCTTTTGGCCTGAGCAGGCCCAAGTTCCCCTAGCGGGGTCCAGGAAATGGGATGGAGGAATTCACACCAAGATACACCCAAGTCTCCAGCCCCTGACTTGAGACTTAAGAAGCACAGCTTACAGTCATCCACCCTCTCCTCAGCCCATTGACCGTCAGGGCTGATGACCAGAGGGCTGCGGGATAAAGATTCTCAGGGTCGGGGAGAGCAATGAGCCCACACAGGGAAGGGGAAGGGAGCCATTAGAAACAGCAAGGTAAACATGTGGTACAGAGCCATGAGTAGCCACCCACGCCCCACTGGGGTCAACCCCTTCCCCTAGTTGAGCCATGCTCCGACCACAACTGGCGTCCCTTCCTTTTCCCACCCCAAATTTGAGCAGTGGTCCTCCAGCTTGGGGATCATCAGGGTGGAAAGAGGCAGTATGACACCATCCCAAAGACACACACCGGGGCTGGGAGCTGAGGAACTGGCGGTCACTGAGCCAGCCGAAGAGGGGGTCGTTGAAGCTGTTCCAGAGAAGGAATACAGTCTGCAAGAAAAGAGAGATGGGGAGCTGGAGAGATGGCTCAGCGGTTAAGAGCACTGGCTGGTCTTTCAGAGGACCTGGGTTCAATTCCCAGCACCCACGTGGCAGTTTACAACTGCCTGTGACTCTACCTCCCGGGGATCCGACACTGACAGACATACATGCAAGCAAAATATCAATGCACATAAAATAAATCATTAAAAGAAGAAGAAAAGAGAGATGGGCAGCTGAACTACACAGGGCTCCCCAGCTCTAGTCTTTCCCCAAAGAAGGCGGCAGCTTCCAGCAGGCTTTGTTCTCGTGTAAGTTCTTCCGCCAAAGCCCCTCTCCTGACTGGTCCACACTCCAAACCCAGTGACCCAGGGCAGCTTGTAAGTGTATCCCACCTAAGGCAGTGGCCAGGGGTGCCACTAGAATTCTCCTGAAGAGTCATTAAGACTCTGCCAGCTTTTCTGGCTGAGTCTTGCTAAACACAGCCTGCCCGCAAAGCGCCTACCACTGGGACAGAACCCAGCTCCTTCTGTCCGCCTGGACACCCGATACCCTAGTCTCCCACTGCCACTGGCTGCCCCATGGTTGGCTTACCTCTCCAATCCAGAAGGACACTTTGTTGATCTTATACACCGAGACAAAGGTGTCCACATAATACAGCAGGAACACATTATGCAGGATGGAGGTGAAGAGGGCCAAGGAGCCATACACCACGGCTGTGGGCAGGCCCAACAGCCAGGCTCGGGGCCAGGCTAGCCCCATGGCTGCTGGCCACGCCTCAGCCCCAGGAGCACCGAGGAGGGCTCACGGACGTTGGCAGTCTGTCCATTCTCGTCTCTGGGGAAGAAGAAACCAGTTAGCAACAAGGATCGGCACTAACTGTCTCTCTCTCAATCTAGCTCTCCAAGTCCTTTAACTTTTAAGATAAAATAATTCATTCCAGGCTGGGGTCTGTAGCTCCGTGGCTGCCTTCTAGTTCAGTGCCTGGGTTTAATCCCTGACACTGAAAAAAATTTATTTTCTTAAACTCGTTTCCTTTGGGAGGGAATTTGCATGTAAAACGAAGCTGGGGAATTACTAATACAGTAGGGCAGAAACAATCTGAGCTAGAAGCCACCCCTCTGGAGTTACTCCAGGAAACTGAGATGGCCTATGGGAAGAGAAGGCGGGCATCCAAGCACTGGGCCAGCTCACATTATAGGGCTGGCTGCTCAGCACACTGTACAGCCTTCACTGTCTAGACATGACCACGGCGGGTTTAGGCAGTATGCTTATAGCATCAGTCAAGTTCAAAGGGAATCATTATGTGAAAGAACAGGTGGATTAAATGAAAAAGCCCATAGTAAATGCTCTATACACCAGGCATGATGGCACACTCCTCTAAGCCAGCACTAGGAAGGCTGAGACAGGAAGACCACTATGCCAGCCTGGGCTGCATAGTCCAGGCCAGCCTTGGTTACATGATGAAACCCTACTGAGAGAGGGGCAGTGTGTTCAATAAGTACATATTGCTATGATCATTATCCTTACAAAATTCCGAGAAACACTATTATGGTCTTATGGAACAACCCCAAATTAAAAAATGCTGAGGAACTTAGCCAATGTCATATAGCAAAGGAGCAATAGATTTGAATCCAGACTTTATTCCCTTTTCTCATCAAATCCTATAAATTTTTCCCCTTTCTTGAATCCAGGTTTTCATCTGACGACAAAGCCTTTCTTTTGTTTTTTGTTTATACAGCAGGAACACATTGTGTGTAGTCCTAGTTGGCCTGGAACTCTCTAGACCAGGCCGACCTGCCTCTGCCTCCCAAGTGCTGGGGTTAAAGGGGTGTGCCACATTGTCTTTGTTTTTTTTTTTTTTGGTTTTTTTTTTTTTTTTTTTTTTTTTTGGTTTTTCGAGACAGGGTTTCTTTGTGTAGCTTTGCGCCTTTCCTGGAACTCACTTGGTAGTCCAGGCTGGCCTCGAACTCACAGAGATCCACCTGGCTCTGCCTCCCGAGTGCTGGGATTAAAGGCGTGAGCCACCACCACCCGGCTCACATTGTCTTTGTAATTGACCTCCAAAACCAGGTTTCTGTGCACCACTGGAGAAAATGGAAAAGCCAGTGAGAAGTCTGCTCTATAAAAACAGAATGTGGGGCTGGAGAGATGGCTCAGAGGTTAAGCGCACTGCCTGTTCTTCCGGAGGTCCTGAGTTCAATTCCCAGCAACCACATGGTGGCTCACAACCATCTATAATGAGATCTGATGCCTTCTCCTGGAGTGCAGGCATGCAGAAAAAATTCTGTATACATAACAAATAAATAAATATTTAAAAAAATAAATTAAATAAAACAGAATGTGAGCGCAGCGGTGGTGGCACATGCCTTTAATTGGGAGTACACCACCACTCAGGAGGCAAAGGCAGGTGGATCTCTATGAGTTCAAGGCCAGCCTGATCTACAGAGCAGCCAGGACAGCCAAGGCTAAACAGAGAAACCTTGTCTCAAAAAAAAGAAAAGAAAAAAGAACAAAATGTGAGAACAGGCAGGCTGGCTCATGCCCAGCACTTGGGAGGAAGATATGCAGACAGATCTCTGTGAGTTTGAGGCCAGCCTTGTCTCCGTAGTGAGTTCCAGGACAGTTAGGGCTACATTGTGAGACCCTATCTCAAAACAACAACAAAAGAACAAGATATGGCTGACTGTGGTGGTGCATGCCTTTGATCCCAGCACTTAGGAAGCAGAGGCAGGCCAATCTGGATGAGTTCCAGGCCAGCCTGGTCTACTTAGTGAGTTCCAGGCCAGTCAAGCTACATAGTGAAAACTGGTCTCAAAAGAAAAAAAAAAAAGAACAAGATGTACTCATACACTGATTCCAGAAATGCCACCTCAAGGAACTAACCCCAAGGGTTTATGTGCAGAGGTATGCACAGCAGCAACATTTATAAACAGCAAACAACTGGACACAGTCCAGGGCTATAACTAAAGGGCAAGCTTGATTCTCTCTCAAACGGGCCACACATGGGCAATGCTGGCACTGGGCACAGAGACTTAAGAACAAACACTATATGAGAGCGTATGGAAGCTGGGGGTGTAGCTCAGTGGTAGAGCACTAGTCTAGCACCTACAAGGCCCTGGGTTCTATCCCAGGCAAGGAGGTGGGGGATGAAAACCCACAAATATGACCTACTTGGATGCAACATCAGTGCATTTAAAACCAAATTAAGATGGAATCATACCAAATCTGTGTGGTTAGTCCATATTAAAATGAAAATTGAATATCAAGTGTGCTGGCTAGTTTTATGTCAATTTGACACAAGCTAGAGTTCACTGAAATGAGGGAACCTCACTGAGAAAATGCCTCCTTAAGATCTGACTGTAGGCAAACCTGTAGGGCATTTTTGTAAATCGTGGAAGAAGGTGCAACCCATTGTGGATGGTGCCACTCCTGGGCTAGTGGTCCTAAGTTCTATAAGAATGCAGGCTGAGCAAGCCATGAGGAGCAAGCCAGTAAGCAGCATCCCTCCATGGCCTCTGTATCAGTTCTTCTCTCCAGGTTCTCACTCTGAGTTCCTGTTCTGATTTCCTTCAATGATGGACTATGGCAATGGAAGCTTAAGCCAAATCAACTCTTTCCTCCTCAACTTGTTTTTGGTCATGGTATTTCATCGCAGCAATAGTAACTCAAAACTAACAGCAATAGTAACCCAAAACTAGCTGGGTGGTGGTGGCACACACCTTTAATCCCAGCACTCAAGAGACAGAGCCAGGTGGATCTCTGTGAGTTCAAGGCCAGCCTGGTCTACAGAGTTAGCTCCAGGACAGCAAGAGTTACACCGAGAAACTGGATGTGGGGTATTTGTACACTGTGTGAAGATGTATTTGCTGCAGTTGGTGTGATAAAAAGCTGAACAGCCAATAGGTAGGCAAGAGATATAGGCAGGACTTCCAGGGAGAGAAAAGAAGAAGAAGAGAATCGAGGTGCTGGAGAGACAACATGGAGAGGAAACAGGAGGTGAAGATGGAAGAGAGGTAAGGCCACGTGATAGAACGTAGATTAATGTAAATGGGTTAATTTAAGTTTTAAGAGCTAGTTAGGAACAAGCCTAAGCTATAGGCTGAGCTTTCATAATTAATAGTAAGTCTTCATGCCATTATTTGGGAGCTGGATGGTGGGACAGAGAAAGACTCATCACATATAGTGTCCAACGTGAAGGCTTGAATATCCACATAGGGCCTGAGAAAGCAGTCTCTCGGGTAGGCTCTGCATACAGAAGTGTGGTTCTTTTAAGAAGCCCTGCTGTGCAGCAGAGCACTTGAGCAGCCAGCAAGCTAGGTAAAAATGTCTGCCGAACGGAATCGTGGTGGACACAGGCAGCTTCCCAGAGCTGGGGCAGAGCATAGAGGCTAGGCTCTCAGGGAACCTGGTGGGGCAGAGCATGAGGCTAGGCTCTCAGGGAACCTGGTGGGGCAGAGCATGAGGCTAGGCTCTCAGGGAACCTGGTGGGGCAGAGCATGAGGCTAGGCTCTCAGGGAACCTGGTGGGGCAGAACATGAGGCTAGGCTCTCAGGGAACCCGGTGAGGCAGAGCCAGCGGCCAGAGCTGTGTAACAGCTGATGCGGACATTTAATGTTTCTCTCTAGGTCACAGAATGCTGCAGGCATGTAGTAAAGCGGTCCAAACTGAGAAAACCTTTAAAAAGATACAGTAAAAAAAAATGAGCATAGACAGTCATAGAAAAAAAATAATTTAAAAATAATAAAAGTCTTTAAAGAGAGAGTAAAGTAATATTAAAAAAAATAAGCCATGTAAAGATGGGAAATCCAGGTGTCTGGATCCTGTATGTGTTTTATTGACTGGGAATTTTTTAAATGCTAATACAAAAAAAAATAGCTGCTGAGAGACATTGGGTTATGGAAACTGCTAAATTAAACCAACCTATATATTTTAAAAATGTCTTAACTTCAAAATGGAATTCAGAAACTATGTTGCATTGGGGGAGAGGTTATGCCTTTGTTTCCACAGGAAACAAAAAGTTATGATTCTCTTCAAAATTAATGAGATCAGATTTGATTGGTGGAGACCTCTGGAAAATCTTGATTATAGACATGAAAAAAGAAACCAAGAAAGACTACAGGACAGGTGATGTATATACTGATCTCTCTACTATGGGAACAGCTCTGAGACTGGATGAGACATGATAAATCTTGTTGGCTACAGAGTCCTCATGGCTTATTATTACATGCTATCCTTTCATATGGCGTGGATAGAGGTTTGGTTATATAGTCCAAACAAACATAAACAGATGCCTTTTACCTGCTCAAACATGAAACAAGAAAATCATCTTTAACTGACTTGTGCACATTCTATACTGGTATTAATGCAGATATATGTTACCTTTAAAAATTTGTGTTTTCGGGCTGGAGAGATGGCTCAGAGGTTAAGAGCACTCACTGGCTGCTCTTCCAGAGGTGCTGAGTTCAATTCCCAGCAACCACATGGGGGCTCACAACCATCTGTAATGAGATCTGGTGCCCTCTTCTAGCCTGCAGTCATACATGCTGTATACATAATAAATAAATAAATCTTAAAAAAAAAAAAAAAGGACCAGACACCAATAAAGACAAGTAGCCCAGGAGATCCAGCCTTAGAATGCCTCTTTTGCAGTTTCCTCAAAATTCTGAATCCAGAACAACTTTCAAAGCTGCTAGCTGAGATGGTCCAACATCACCCACTACTCCAACCAGGACTTCAGATAAGCCCTGCACTTTCCCATCACACAGAGACTAAACAAAAAAATAATAACAGTTAGCTCTCCCAGGACTTGACCATTATCCCAATTTTCACAGGGT